TGTGTGTTTGCAGACGTCAGTTTGTGCGGCGGTGTGCGTGTGTTTGTGCACGTGTATGTCTGTGTTTGTCTGCGTGTCTGTGTGTGTGGCTGCGTGTGTGTTTGTGAGAGTGAGTCTGTGTCCAAGTGTGTGTGTGCGTGCACGTGTGCGCGTGCATGCGCACATGTGTGTGTATGTGTATGTAGGTATGTGAATGTGTGACTATGTTTGTTTGTATGTGGGTGTGTGTGTGTGTGAGTGAGTGGGTTCGCGTGCGTATGCACGCACGCAAGCATGCGCATGCTTTTGACCACCCACCCTTTTGTGTTTTTGCTTGAAATTCATAATATGCATATTATTGCAAAAACATAACATGCTTTATTGTGAAAAAAAATACAACTGCCGTGTGAAAGATGGGTGTATGGAAGGGTCGAATGTAAGACAGGCCTGCATGTCAAATTTGTGACCCTTTGAAAATAAAGTTTGTTGGTTCATTCTTATGGTGAATTGTATATGTGATTAGCTACACATCATACTGAGATCAGTAGCAAGAGGTAAAATAATATATACCCAACACCTGCAATATAAACCAACAATCTGTCTAATTTCAAATTGCATAAGCATACAAAATGTGACAAAACTGAAAAAGACAATAACAGTTTACTGACAATATTATTCTGTTATACAGCAAACAAAAATGTAAAAAAAAAAGCTGTATACTATTCAAAAAAAAAAAACATACAGGAAAAAAAGAAAGAACTATATCATGGAGAATGTGTAAGCTTTCCAACTTAAACAGCCACTGCATAGGGACTTAAAAGCCTTGCTTGAAAAATCTACAATGAGTGTTTGCCTGAACAACTTAACTGAGTAGGTCACAATAACCTGTCACTAGATGCTGTAATGACTTCACTTTTTCAGTGCCCAAGAATGCATCAGATCAAAACTGTTTTCTATGAATCCCAACCACCATCAAATGTGTTCTCATCTACTTCTTCTCTTCCTTGAGTTACCTCCCTAAATGTTGGGGGAAGATATTAGGATCTTCTGTATGCTGCTGCACTTGCACACATCTCCTAAATTCTTCTTGAGCATCACTGTGTATGCAGTTAAAATTGTATACCAGTCTGCTGAACCTGTCCTCTGAAACATCACACTTTGTGTTCTCATACAGTTTACATCCAGACATAATTTATTAAAATAGCTTTGGCTTCCACAGTCGTTAATTCCACTTTCTTTAGGAGGCTTTAAAGAAAAAAATGCACTCAATACTGAATTTTCTAGTATGGTCGTTTTCTCCTGTTGTACCTGTCATTAAATCTGGGATTAAAATAGTTAACAACTTATTGAATATTTTCAATTAAATTAAACTGTTATAATAGACAGTCCAATAACTGTAATCAATAATGTGATGTTATTCAATAATTCATCAGATCTTTTATAGGTAAATATGTTATGTTATTTATTGTTATTCATTATATATATTATATGCTATTGAGTACTGTGTTTTATTTATTTTTACTTTTATTTTATTATTTATTAAATACATAATTTTTATTATAATATGCACACACTTATAAATGTGTGTGTATATTTCACCCAACAAATTGTTCAAAAGCATTGTCAAAATTTACTGACTGTTATGATGTATAGCACCAAAATCCAATAACTGTTAAACCTGGACAATATGAGAGTCCAATAACTGTATTCAATAACGGAATGTATAATTCAATAATTCTTTTCTGAATTTACACTGGTTAATATTTGTCATCCAACAATAATATAACAATTTACAACTGTTATGATGTATATTATAAAAATGTATTAACGGCTCTACTGGATGTAGTAACTTAGTGACTAACATAACTGGTAAGTTATCATAATCCAATAACAGTCTACTGATACTGTAAAAAGTCAATAACTCATCTCTATCACAAATCAGGAAAATTAACAGACAACACTGCAGGTATATGGTTAGGTATAGATAATCTATTTCAAGTGAATGAAAGAAGAAGAAAAAAAAAGAGAGAAAATTAACACAGTAGAAGGAAAATAGTGGGGTCATCAACCTAACTTAAAAAATGTACAAAGAAATAAATTGCATATCTCCATCCCTTTAGCCTTACTGAGCATATGGTGATAGTCTTCAAATTTAGAAAGACGAATTGTCTCTCGATGGGTAATAATCATAATAGCCACCTTTGCTACCCAGAACATTTCCTACTACTGGGTCTCCTCCAATTATGACCAAGTTCTGCTCCGATTAACTGGTCGTAAGTAAAATTATATTTTTTACACTATTTTTATTAAAACAGGATACAAAATTGTACATAAAACATGCAAATACAATCTATGCATCTGTAGTTATTGTAAAAAAAGACCCTTTATTAATAGGGCTCATGTCAAATGATTACAGTACATAAGGAGACAAATATATAATATATACTGCATAAGTTCCTGAAACTTGTTAGCCCAACCAATCTAGTTATCTTTACTGATTTAAGAGTTTTATTTATATTATTTCTTTTCTGGTCATAAGTCGCATAGGTCGTAGGTCAAAGAGAAGGTGTACCTACTTTTTAGCCAGGTCACCATCTTATCTATTAGAAATTTCTGTAAATATAAAAATACAAATTTTGGGGTGATGTGTCCAATATGGCGGCGACTATCTTTATTTCTAAGAACATTTCCTAGTACTGGTTTTTTTATGTTTGTTTTTTTTTTTTAGCTAGGCTGAGCTGTGATTTTTCACGGCATTAAATTGTTTAAAAAAAATTTTTTTTTTTTTAAATTAAGAAGCAAATTCAGTATCGTACAGATATTTTCACTCCTAAATAGCAGTCAGAAGAAGAAGAAGAAGCGGGGAAGGGGGGGGGGGGGGGGGGGGGGGGGGAGAGAAAATAAGAAGAAGAAGAAAAAGAAGAAGAAAGTTTTATCATGCAAACATGAATGTTAAAAAAAGCTGCTCCCCACTAGGCAAGGCAAGTTTATTATGTGCTAAAAAGAAAGGGGCTGACAAGACAAGTCATACATACAAAGATTAAGTAGTGGAGGTTCTACTATAAAATGTAACCATGTAAAGATCGCAAGAATATCTCGTCTTCATGCTGCAAAAGCAAAAAAAAAATACAAAGACCCTGAAAAACAATTTATTTGTGTATAGTCTGTTCTGTTGAGATGTACATTTGCTAGGTAAATAGAAATCAGTGAATACTTTACACTCATCATCATCATGCAGCAGGTCCTTTGCAGAACAGCGCTCTCATCACGGTCTGCCAGAAAGAAACTCGGTCTCTCGCCAGCTCTCCCGCCTCATGCACTTTCATACTCAAGGAGTCACTAATATCCTGTGCCCATCTTCGTGTTGGTCGGCCCCTGCCCCTTTTTCCTGCTACCATTCCTTCTGCTATAATTTTTTCCAATCCATCGTGGCGCTTGATATGACCAAAATATTTCAGCTTCCGAGACAGGATGCTGTTTATTAGCCAATCTTCCTTGATGTTCAGATCTTTCAAGATGTCAATATTTCTCCTCTTTTTCATCCAAGATATTCTGAGAATCTTTCTATAGCATTTCAGCTTAAAAGCTTTTATTCTCTGTCTTAAGGACTGGGAGATAGTCCACGACTCACATCCGTTATGTTGCTACAGGAAAGATGCATGCTCTCAAAATTCTAATTTTGATCTCCTTGCTGGTGCTTAACAATAGACTTTTTAGGCTGTTTAATCTTTGCATTGCTTTGGCCATCCTCCTTTTAATTTATGTCAAACAGTCTCCATTACTATTTATTATAGAGCCTAGATATTCAAAGTTCGTGACATTTTCGATTTCTTCACCATTCATTATTATTTTTCGGTGACAGCCAGTTTTATCTGTGGATATTATTTTTGTTTCCTTTAAATTCAAGAACAGATTTTGATGGATTGCACGATAGCTTTCATAAAGGCTACCGGCCTCCTGATATAAGTTTTCTGACAGAAGGATCGAAGAAGAAGAAGAAGACTGTGCTTTTGGACAGACAATATTAAATTTTCTATTCCCTCTATGCTGTTTGAAAGGAGGACTGTGTCATCTACATAGAGAAGTTCAGGAATAGGGTTGCCACCAATTATGAGCGGGTCAAAACTGTCACAAGTCTGGTCATTTTTTACATGTCTCATTACATTTTCTGTGTACATAGTGAATAGGTGTGGTGAGAGAAAACACTCCCATTTGCACCTCGAACCGATCCGATGTTTCACCAGCTGCTCTGATGGTTGCTTGTTGTTCTTGATAAAGATTTTCAATTAAATGCACCAAATACACTGGAAACCCCATACTTCTCATAATAGTCCACTGTTTCTGATGTTGGACATAATCAAATGCTTTGACATAATCAATGAAACAAGCATGAAGATCTACGTTGTATTCTCTAAATTTTTCTAAAATTATTCTCATATTAAACATGTGATCCCTAGTTCCTCTACTCTGTCTGAAACCCGCTTGTGCTTTATGTAGCTCATATTATAACTTCCTTTCAACACTTTTTATAATAATTCGTAAGAGGATTTTGCTGGCATGACATTAATGTGATGGTACGGTAGTTGGAGCATAGTTTCAGATTTATTTTCTTTGGGAGAGGGATATACTGTTCTTTTCCATGCTTTAGGCCAAATGCCACTGTTTTACATCTTCAAGCACAGTGCATGGTAAATTCGGTCGCTGGCCTCTCCTCCTGCTTGAATTAATTCTGCTGGTATTTTGTTGCAACCTGGTGACTTTCCTTTCTTCAGGCTTACACTAAGTGTCAAAAATATTCTAAATTAATGGCAATGCTACTTTTACGAATACTGCACTCACAAACAGATATGATACTTTTTTTTTTTGTAAATACAAAAAGCAGGATGATTTTTCTTCAAGAATCTGAAAAGCAGTTTCTAATCTAATAAGACAAATGTGATAATAATAAAAATATGTGTACAACTGCTTCCAGTTGGTTGCAGTTTCATCCTCCAAGAGTTGTTCTATGTCTCCAGCAATGTCTACATTCTACTGAAGCGAGCAATCTGCTGGCGGCAGTTGGGGCAAGAATGGATGACATCTTTGCATCCATCCAGACAGAAGGGAATCAGACAGCAACCAAGTCCGCATCTGTTGAAAAGAATGATAATGTCTCCAATAAATAGCTTAGTTTATTGTGGATGCAGTGGTACTGAACCATGCCTAGTAATATGCAATGACCAGGGCTCATATGGGTCAAGATCTATCTATATCAGTCTTTATGTATGTGTGTGTGCGAGCATGTGTGTGTGTGTACGTATGTGTAAGCGTGCATGCGTGCATGTGTGTGTGTGAGTGAGTGCATGAATGTGTGAGCAGGCGTGTGTGTTTGTGCGCATGCATGTGCCATTTATGCTTCTGTATATTTTGCTTGATGCAGCGTCTGTGGCTAAGGCGTTGCGAGTCCGACTCGTGAGCCAGCATACCGCGATCGAAACCCACTGCAGGCTGCGTGGATTTTTGTCGTGGTATGGGACGTCGCAGGTCGACCCAGCCTAAAATGGGTACCAGGATGGGCTGTCCTGGGAAAGTAAAGACAGCCGGCGTAATGCTGACCACATTACCCACAGAGTGCTGATGGTCTATTAAAATATGGGACGCTCTACCCATATGGTCGATGCGCCGAAAGGCGTGAAAAGAGATCTTTACTTTACTTTACTATATTTTGCTTGACATTCATATTATGCATATTGTTTTATGAACATAACACGCTTCATTTATAAAACACAATCGTGGTCTGAAAGTTGAGTTTTTCGAAGAGCTGAATGTAAGACGGGGCCCAATTTGTGACCCTTTGAAAATAACATTTGTTTGTTCTATAGTGATCCTAGAAACAGGTTCCTAACCTGGAGCCTGGTCAGCGCAGATAGGATCAACATCTTTTCAAAGCTGGAGTAAAGGATCTTTTCTACGCCTTCAAGCAGATTTGGCATGCATGGCTAGACCTATATTTTTTAGACCAACCGGCACTTGATTGTGGGGTGTGGTCAACATCATGCCAGCCACCTTTACTTCCCAGGAATCTTCCTGGTACCCGTTTAAGGCTGGGCCGACCTGGGAGCCAGGGTCATTTCACATACAGGGAAAGTCAAGAGGATCAGCAGCAGCTGCTATGTTTTACTGTGGGGGAAGGGGGGGGGGGGTTATCACATCCAACCAGTATCCCTGAAGGAGGAGCTTTGGGTTATAACTGTGACTAGGTTATGTGTGCCACATAGAATGGCTTAGCACTGCACACCACCAAGAGCCCTGAAAAAGACTCCTGCAGTGTTTATGTGATCAAAGAAGACAGCCCCAAGACTGTACCGACCGGCGAGGAAGTCATCTACTGGCCAGCCAATAGGTGACCCGGTCGTGGATGAAGAGGATCAGCTTCATTACACACATGGCTCAGCCTCTTACTGCAGAAAGTCTAGCTATTTGCAAAAAGCACTGCACAAAGCACAAACTTTGTGGCTCCAGCAATGATCTCATGAGATTTCTGTAAAAACTATAGTTGGCAACTGAACAATGCAGCCCATGAAACCAACCCATGACCTCCACAATCATCAGACAGAGGGAAGAAACTCTTATTCATGGAAACCTCTATTCATCTAACCATACTAGATGTCTATATTCCTATCCCCCTAAAGTTATAACCATTTCTAGTTGCTTCACTCGTCACTTTGCGGTATCAAAAGTCCAAGTCAAAGCATTTTCCCATATAAATGACCAATTTCAAAATAGAAAACAAGCAAATTAAGTCTTAAAAAATGTGTCAATCTTTTTGCAGCAATAGCCAGCCCATCATGAAGATGATGCACATATTTTTATAGATTAATCAACACTCGATGGATGATGTAGTCAACATCATGCTTGCTGATTTTACTTTCCAGGACATTTCCTGGTATCTATGTAAGGCTAGGTTTACCTAGGAGCTAAAGTCAATTTCAAATAACCCACCTGCTGAAACCCAAGATCTTTGAGTTGGCAGGCAAGCCAGCGTGCTACAGCAACTCCTAATAAAACTCATCTATACTGGCTGAATGTACCCTATTTTAAAACCCTGTTGGACAGCAGCAGCTGGCCAAATGAAGAGCATCTGGTCGAATGAGTAGCAACTGGCTGAATGAGAAGCGGCTGGCCAAATGAGGAGCAGCTGGCTGAATGAGAAGCGGCTGGCCAAATGAAGAGCATCTGGTCGAATGAGGAGCAGCTGGCTGAATGAGGAGCGGCTGGCCAAATGAGGAGCAGCTGGCCGAATGAGGAGCAGCTGGCCGAATGAGGAGCAGCTGGCCAAAAGAGGAGCAGCTGGCCGAATGAGGAGCAAATGGCCAAAAGAGGAGCAGCTGGTCGAATGAGGAGCGGCTGGCCAAATGAGGAGCAGCTGGCCGAATGAGGAGCGGCTGGCCAAATGAGGAGCGGCTGGTGGAATAATTAGAACAATGGGTTCTCAACCTGGGTTAGAATTATTGTTACGGTTAAAGGGATTTTTTTTTCTTCTGATGGGGGCAAAAATAAAATCCTCACCTGCACACAATCCACTGCAGTCGTGGTAAATATGCAATTAATGGCAGTCATTTTTTTGGGGGGGGGGGGGGGGTAAAATGTTGGGACAAGATGGTCTCAACCTGAGGATATAGGGCCACAAGGCTAGTACAGCTGCCAGTTAGGATCATTTGTAAATGTTTGCTTCAAACAGGCAACATGTCCTTCACTTTACTGAGGATTTAAACCCAGGTGTCAGAGAAAACTAGTAATGATATAAAACAGAACTTACCCCACAAACCACAGCACACAACAGATAACCCAAGCGAACGTTCCGGTTTCAAAACTAGTGGCGGTGACCACCTCAGCCCGACAGTAAGGACAGTTTGTGTGCACAGGGGATTCTCTGAATACCTGAATAACAGTAACTGTTGGCTGAACCACAACTGTTGTAGCCTGTGAGTAGCCGGACTGAGTAGCTATATGAATAAGGAAAGTATTATTATTAATTACATCATTAATTTTTTTTATTTTTATTTTTTTTATTTTTCCCTCCTGGCTTTACATATAATGGACTGAATCAAATAGGCACAAATCTAGAAAACCCCATTCAACCATGCAGCACAGGTATATTAGGGTACTTTTTTCTTCTTCTTCTTCTACTTTCAGGGTCAAAAGGGGGTTTGGCACACTGTGCTGTGGTTTAAAACTAGGCTGCGATATCTGCGCCTTTGAACTGATCACATCTGATTTTAGTAGAATCTTGATAAATCACTTTTTATTACAGTCTTGTTGAAGGGCAGTGGGTGTATTTTGTCCCCAAAACAAACAGGGGGATCTGGGGTACCCAACAGTTATAAAGTTACCTTCATCTACCCTAACAAATAAAATCAAGCATTAACACATTTCTTCTCTTAAAAATAAGAAAAATAAACATAATTCCAGTTTCTAATTCTTAAAATTGAAAATGTAAAATCATACCTTTAACTCAACAGATTGTTGAATGTTGAATTAAGAATTGACATCACCGCACTCGGGACACACCCCCCCCCCCCCTCTCAATAATAGCTACATCCCCATCTTCAGCAGCAAGCGAAGAGTTAAAATTCCTATGGTACCAGTAACTGTCTGATTTTATTTACGTCAGCCTTTTCACTGAGTGTCGACCAGATCCCCTTGTAACTCCTCGCTGTGCCATTTTCCTCAGACCGTAATGATCTATCTGTGCCTCGGCACCTTTCAGTTGCTCCCAAAAACGCCCTCACAGAATCCAGCTTTTCATACACAAGTTTGCAAGCCAGTCTATCTGCCTGCTCATTTCTCAACACATCGGCATGACCTGGATAAAATATCCAAAGGATGCTAACTACCCTGAACCTTTGAAGTGATGCTTGCCACTGTGAATGAAGCATGCCTGTTTCCACTTTTCTCAACATGCTCTGTGAGTCAGTTACAATCACAGCATGTATGTACAGCTGATTCTCAAGCCAGCGGAAGGCAGTAGTGACTGCCTCCACCTCCATTCTCAAACTAGACGTTGTGATATCATATGCTAGGCTTTGTTGCACCAAGCGACATCCATTCCACTTTGCTATGAACCCCTTGCATTTCGTCTGTCCCTCAACACAGAATCATCTGTATATACAATCATATCACCTGGGCGGGAATCTTCATGAATCATTTGTTGAACTTCTGATTCTACAGCACCAGCTGGCCAGTCCCTGCATTCACATCCCAAAGTTACTAGAACCCTACAAAAGTCTGAAACCTGACCGGACACTCTGACCCACTCCTCTCCTAAATTTATCAAGCCTGCACATGTGTCCAACTGTGTCTTCAGCTTACGTCATCCAAGACTTTCCTCTTTTCAGTCTCTGACTCTTAGCTCTATCCATGCAGGAGGTGCCTATTGTTGCAGCTAGTCTAAGATATGACTTTGCTTGCAGAACTTTCAGCCTATCTACAATAGTAGGCAGTGTAAGTATATATCGCATACATACTACCGAGGTATCTCTTGTACATCCCAGAATCGCCCGCATGGATACATTCTGTATGCGATCAAGTTTCATCAGCTGACTCTTTGATATGGTAAGCATACCAAGTCCATAATCTATCACTGACAGAATCACATGCTGGAACATTGTAAACATTCTTCCCTTCCATGTCCATTGCTGCCATAATGTTTGGAACATTGAGTCCTTTTTGACATTTCCCCGCAACTGCCTCCACATGATCCCTAAAGGACAAAATGATACCTAGGTACCTCAGTCTGATTTCTCTTTAAACTGTGAAGTTTGGAACGTTAGCTTTTACAATTCTATTGTCTAGAGAGCACAACAAAATAGCTGCCTTTTCTGAATTGATGACTGAACCCATTTCTGCACACCAGTCAGTCACTTAGTCAACAGATTCTAACTCTAGGTACCAAGAAATACCCTGTGTGTTAATTTATAACCAATTCAACTCCTTTATTTAAAAAAAAAAATGGTTGTGTGTGTGGTGGTGGTGGGGGGGGGGGGGGGGGCATTCTTATATTAAAGGATCTCTCACAAATAGTGCTGACTGTAAAAATCCCTCTTGTTTGCCCTTTATCTCATAATAAAGATAAGGCACTCATACAACTTTTGCTTTGCTGGGAGAAAAACTATCATGTTTAACCAGCATCCCCAAAGGAAAGCTTTAGGTTATAATTGTGACTAGGTTATAAGCGCCACATAAAATGGTGTAGCACTGTGTGCCACTAAGAGCTCTGAAAAGGACTTCTGGAGTGTAGATGCAATCAAAGCAGACAGATTAGCAACGAAGTCGTCTACCAGCGAGTCAATGGGTGACCTGGCCGCCAATATGCTCATACAACTCAAATCAAACTCTTTGTATAATTGGTCATAATGTATGGGAATTGAAGTTGAAGTGTTCTAATGGCAAAAGGAATCTAAGGGTTCAATCAATTAATTAACAGTTCTTTTGCATACAGGTTACTGATGGTCTTTTCAGTCAATTTAAAAAAAAAACACCATTGAATAAGTGTCTTTTTTTAACAAACAGTATGTTTTACCACACTATGATACAGACATATGTTTTACCATCTGACTCAGATGTTTTCCTGCACAATTATAAAGTAACCTTTTCTCACACACTCATATAGTCATATGTTTTACAGTGCAGTGATAAAGACGTTTTTCCACACACTGAAATAGTCATTTGCTGCCCGACATACTGATACAGACCTATGTATCACCACAACCACACACTAATATAGTCATCTTCTTCTTTCTTCTTCGTGTTCACCATCTGTAAACTCTGGCGGAAAGTTCTGGTTGTTCATCCACTTCTGGACTGCAGTCCTGTTCCAGAACCTGAGTGTTGCATGTACATCCGTTTTACAGATCTGACTCATTTGTATGCAGACTGCTGGTTCCTTGCCTCTCAGGCAGATGCACTCTGACTTCGAAGGAAGCTCCCAATCAGTCAACTCTTACAACATGCTTTTGGGTAGGCAGTGAGTCTATTCTTGTTTTGCCTATAATAGGGCCCCGAAACCCACACTAGGAACTAATACAGTCATATGCCACTCCCTCCCCCTACCCCCTTTGTTTTGCCCCCACATAAAGTCATATGTTTTACCAAAATGATACATGGATGGATATGTTCTTTTTTAAGATATAGTTTATAATAGTGACATATTTAATTAAGCATATGTTAACTGGATTCCAACATCTCCAAGGAATCTTAACATCCATTACACTGAAACATCTTGAGGAAACAATAACTATATACTATTAGAACAACATCTATACATTGGAGACTATAAAGAATTTTACCAGTGAATTTATTCTAAATGTACTTTTTCTGTTATACTTTCCTGTTAGCTTCAACATAAAGATCTTTAAAGTCATTCCCCTTTTCAATGGGTTTTGGTTGTTATAGTGCATTATTTATTTGGTTTTCTGGTTTTAAATGTCTTTCCTTTAGATGGGGTTTTTTTCTGTTTCTTTCTCTCTGAAAGATTTAAAATTTACCTTATGCCTAGTGATATTCTAACAATCTTCACAAAGTTTTCTAACATAAATAAAATTTACTGTGAACAGTACACAAATACTTAGACATATACAGAGACTTTATAGATGTGCTTAATTTATTCATCAGCAATACACAAAATATGTTCAGAAGTGGTGAAATAAACTTCTTCTTCTTCGGTTCACTGGCTTTAAACTGCGATGAAAAGTTCTCATCCACTTCTGGACTTCAGGCTTGCTCCAGAACTTGAGATCTGCACGCATATCTGTTTTACAGATCTGTCTTGTCTATATGCAGATTGTTGGTTCCTCACCTCTCAGACAGATGCACTCTTAACTTCTTAGGAAACATCCCTAATCACTTTCCTTTAATGACACGCCTGTTAGGGAGGCAGTGAGTCTATTCTTATTTCCTCCTAAAATTGAGCATCAGAACATACATGTCGCTTGAGGTGAGGGCAAAATAAAAACATGCAGTGCAACTGAATCAGTGTAGGACTGATTGAGATTCATTTGAGTGTCAGTTGCAGAAGTCAATATCATACCCCATGAACAGGATTTGTTGCTGAAGGGGCAAAACATTAGAAATATAAAGTGCAAACAACAAAGAAATCCTAGGTAATGTTAAGCTCAACTCAGAGACGCCAGTACAAACACTGACAACATTTCAGACCCACAAAAAAAAATGATTTTAAAGGTTGGCTGCAATAAATCTCTAGCGTGCACTGTCTTTCTCTCTGCATCTACTCTTTCAGATTGCTATTCATCCTTCTCTTGATGTTATCCTCCCGCTTGTATCAATGTTTGCCTCATGCTCACTCGCTTTTAAATGTTCCCTTAAGTACGGTTTGTAATAAAAGTGTTGTGTTGTTTAATATGGCTGAAATATTTCATGTCTTGTTATTTCCTTCAGCAAATCCTCTTGATTCTTAGTATCTTCAGAGCCTCTGTATCCGACTTCATTTTCCACCCATGAAATATGACATATTCTTCTGTAAATCCACAACTACAGAGACTCAATACAATATTCCAACTGCTTAAAACATAACTTACAATGTGAACCATCAAAAACTGCCAGTGCAACACTGTAACAAACACTGAGTTATGAATAATTTGATATACTCTTAGTAGCAGTTAGACATGTAAAAAAAAAAAAAAAGCAACAGCCCATACATACAAGAAACACTGCAGTCGGTAGGAAATATCAAAAACATTTAAAACAAGTGAGCAGTGAATGCTGGGTTATAGATTACTTGATCTAATTTCCATGGTAGTTAGGTAAACAACAGCTCCTACAATCAAGACATAATAATAGCTCAAATAAACAAAACAGACAAGCTCATGCAAACAAGATAAGAACAAACAATACCTGGCCAAGCATAATAGTGTGGTGGTTGTGGAGCTGTTTAACATGGGACAATAAAATACTACATCACTTAGTTACATAACATGAACAGAATAAACATACATGACATGATTAATCATATAACCATATCAAAGTATGGAAGTCAAGGTGGTGTAGCAGCCAGATGTTCACCTGTCAGCTCAACATCTTCTGTGCCAAGCAACACACCATGCGTATTCAGCCATTACCTCAGTGTCTCCAGAGATGCAAGGTGTGTTACTGTACAGTTTAAATGTTGACTTAAAGCATATGACACAAAGCTGGTCAAATGCTTCAACATGTAGCACTGTAAATACTGCCTCTTTGGAAGTTACACATGCATCTCTAACAAAACCTTCTCATACTGAAAGAGCCTGAGGACTTGGGTTCGAATTCACACTGAGTTTTTTTGTTTTTTTTTTCACAAATGAACTTGGCTCACAGGCTGGTTAGCCTAAATGAGTACCAGTTAAGGTGAGGGTAAGTAAAGGCGGCAGGACCTGTACTGATTGCATCACCCATCAAGTGCCGGTAGGTCTACAAACAATATGTCTTATATCACACACCTAATAGGCCTCTGGAAGGTAAAGGGTCCTCTACTTACTTATTGACATATCAAAGTATGAATTTCTAAAAGAAATTTACATGAAAAACATTTACCTAAAAAAAAAATTCTAAATAAAATAAAGCTACGAAGAATTATTCTTGAAAGTTATTGATTCAGGGGAAGGGAGGGGGGATGAGAAAAGAAAATACACTGAAAACTGTCAAACCATTTAGTTTTCAAAAGGCACTATGATAATGAACATTATGCAATTTAAAATTAATGATACTAAGATAATGATGACTGGTCAGATAAATGTGAACTCAACAACAAGCAACCAAAACAGATGAGTAAAATACATTTATTTATGGATGCATAAGTGTGTGACTGGAAAGCTTGACATCAAAGACAGAGACAGAGACAGAAATGGATGATTCAACCAAAGTCTTTGGAACAAATGAAAGTAAAAGACCCTTTTCTTCAGGTAAATAGGCCAAGACCTATATTTTGTAGACTAATCAGCACTCACAGGGCTGATGTGGTCAACATCATGACGGCTGACTTTACTTTCCAGGCTGTACCTCATACCTATTTAACTCTTTGAGTCCTAAGGAGCGCATCATACGTTCATAGCTTCCTACCTAGAAGCCCAGTAAACGCAAGATGCGCCGATTTAACGTCTCTCTTTACTACCCCTAGGGCCTGAATGCTAAACTCTCTGGGACTCAAAGAGTTAAGGCTGCGTAGACCTGGGGTCTGATCTGGTAGATCAGAAGTAAAGCTTTGACATGAGGAGGTCGGCTCCAAGGTAGATCCCTGGAACTGGGGTATATCAGCAAAGAGTTCCAGAATAGCAGCCTTGCAGTGAGCAGGCTTACTCCATAATTTATCTAAACTTTTCAGAAGGGCTGAGTCACTATAACCGGAGGCTTTTCTGATGTAGATGATGACAGACTCCTTAAATGTGTTATCCTCACCACCAAATAGGAAAGACTGCCTAAGGACTCAGAAATTAAAGTAATAACCAGGTCTAGATAGGTTAATGTCATAAGCAAGTAAAAGTAAAGGACCCTTTTCCATACCTTCAGGCATGTCGGGCACATAAGGTTAGACCTAACTTTTACAGACCATTTGGTGGGTGATGTGGTCAGCATCACACCAATGTCATAAGTGACTGACAAAATGAATAAGACAACACAGTTAGTTTGTGTATCCTTTACAGGATGTTGCAGAACCAACAACAGCATTTTTTTAGTGTTGTGGTTTTTCTAGGCAGAATTATGTCCAGTAGTTTGCCACTGCTTCTGAACGGTCGGCTCTCGATACCACTGTCAAAACCAACGCAAGGTGAAAAATCACCTGCAGCTGGGATCGAACCTTGTACCCCGGCATTTTGGAGCTTGTTCGCAATGCCTAAGCCACAGATGCTGACAACACAGTGTTCAGGTAATGTACTGATAAAAAGTTAAATATATGGTGACTTTCTTGGCAGACTGAGTAAAATAAGTATATATTTGACTTGTCAAAGTTCTGAAACTGGGAGAGCTATAAAACTGTTTGAAATATTAAAATGTTACTGAAAAATTACTAAATTTGTGAAATAGCTCTTGAAATAATATCAACAGTAGCCACAGCAGCCAGGTTGTCACAGGTATTGGGTTCAAATGATTAAGGTTTTCAGTAAATGAACTGTGTCACCCCAACCTAACATGATTGCCAGGAAACATCCAAGTGAAGGTGATGTTACACCCATTGAATGAGGGCTGGTATTTGAAAACATGGATACAGCACTATATACTGGATGTATCAAGGGTGTGAGAATGGTCCTTACCCAGTAGTTGTTTTTTTAACTACATGAAACTACATTCAACTATGAATGACAGTAATTTATCATAGACTCCTACAAACATACGCTGACAATACGTGAGAAAAATATTAGATAAACAAGTGTTATTTAACAAAAGAATGGCAAGCAAAGTTAAACAAGCAAAGCTGAATTTTTTTTTTTAAATCATTATTCAGTTCTAAAACAAAAATTAATAAAGTAACAGAAACAAAAATTAGTTAACTCAGTAAGAGCCTAAAAACTGCCAGCATTTTGATTCACATTCAAAGAATATGAAAAATTAAATACAACCAACAACATTAGTAAAAATTAGAAATAACTTTAGAGTTAAAAACATCTGAGAAGTAATGAAGTAAACAATCAAAAAAGCTACAGCAAAAATATTTGTTAAAAACATTAAACTTGAGAAAGTTATTATATATTAACAGACAACAAAACAGATAATTATATCTATACCTGTAGGATATCCTGAGGGATAGAAGCAGAAGAAATAAAAGTTTGTTAAAAACAAACATATTAGCCTTGTTGAACGTTATTAAAAGTTTTAAGGTCAAGAGAATCGAATTCACTAGAACAGTTTTTATCCCATATGGCTTGGTCTATCATCACAGACTGGCAAGCCACTACTTACTGTCACAAAAAGCATGACTTCTGAGTCTCGAGAGACAACCTTAGAGATCTCTATTTGAAAAAAAAAAAAAAACTTCAACTGAACTTTACAGTGCACAATTAGAACTTACTAACTTCAGAGAGCAATGCTTTCCGTGTCAGTTCAGGAGCCTCAAGAATAGACCCAATGCCCCCTTAACAAACATGCCGTAAAAATCGACTAATTAGGAGTTTTTCCTTCTGAGCTGGAGTGCATATGTATGATAGTTGAGGAACCAATAGTCTGCATATAAATAAGCCAGATCTGTAAAATGAATGTGCAAGCAAAAAAACTAAAAGTCCTGAAACAAGATCAGTCCAGACGTGGTCGAACAAAAAAACAAAAACTTTTTAAGTTTACAGCTGGTGAACTTAAAGAAGAAGAAGAATAAGAGAGTGTGATGCAAAAGAATCCAGCTCAGAGACATGGAGACCAACGTTACACTGTCAAATACAGTATAATAAACTACGCAAATCTGATCAATTATTCAGTGCTCCAAAGTACAGTGTCAGCTTCAGTAAATACATTAACACAGTCAAATGAAACTTCCAGCAACAGTTACTTGATAATCAATAGAATTGCTGCTATCAAATATGTCCATTTAGTTTGCACAGCACTTTATTGTTATCTAGCTTTTGGTGTAAAACTGGCTATAATGAATTATCACCACTCATCTATTACACATGAGAAATATATTTGCTAGTTATAATCCTAAACGATGTTTCTTTTAAATTTAATCAAAAGTTTACGACCATTAATTCTCTTTTATAAAGGTACATAAATGTTTTACTTACAAATTATACAGAAATCAGTAACTAATTAAACTAGGACAAAGCAACACACCCAAATACTGTGTTTATAGTTAGTCATTAGTCGCAGTGCTAACCTTATGGCAAAAGGGCCAGCTCATTGTCGTTCTAAACTATTCAGAATTCCCTTTAAAAAAAGTTTAAACAGACTGCAATCCTGGCAAAGCCAACAGCACTCACGTGTATTTAATGCATAAGGCAACCACCAGAAATGTGAACACCAACTTTAATTCGGCCAATTAATATGGAGTCTTAAGGTCAAATGAAGAAATAAGAAGCAAGCTTTTATAAAGATTGAAAACATATTATACACCATTCAATACCTTGTGGGTAACCAGGTCCAGCCATGTACTGTGGTGGGTAGGGATTTCCTGGTTGTGGATATGGATTGCCTGGTGGTGGATGTGGATTCCCTGGTGGAGGTGCATAAGAACTCCCACCTCCATAAGGTGGTGGAGCACTATCTGAATATTCTTTTGACATGGTCCCTTGATTAGAAGTCTGTTGGTAATAAATGATTTCAGTCCAATGAATAAATGAATCAAGAACTGACATCACTATACTAGAGACATTCTCACATGTGCTCTGTCTCTTTCGTCAGTAGCCAACAAAGAGTTGATATGCTAACTGTACCAGTTATAGCCAGACTGAAAGTTCGCTTATTTTTTCCCCTCAGTTCTTAATATCTTCCTCCCCGTGTGGGTTCCAGAGCCCCATTTTGGGGAAAACAAGAACAGACTCACTGTCTCCCGAACAAGCATGTCGTAAGAATCGACTAACTGGGGGCTTCCTTCAAAGTCGGAATGCATCTGTCTGAGATGCAAGGAACCAATGATCTGCATATAAATAAGTCATATGTGTAAAACGGATGTGCACGCAACACTCACGTTCTGGAACCAGACTAAAGTCCAGACGTGGACGAACAACCAGGACTTTCCGCCAGAGCTTACAGCCAGTGAAAGTGAAGAAGAAGAATATCTTCCAGATCCTCTGCTCACCTTATGCTTAATTAGTCTATCAATGTATAGATGCTCAGTATGGTCCGTTGCACTTTCCACTGGATCCTAGAGAGCCTTTACCACATCCACTATGTCATAACGTAGCTCACCACCCAGAGGAGCAGCAGCAGCAGCCAATCTATCAGCCTGCTCATTAACCAGCACACCCGAATATCCTGGACAGAAAATCCATGATATGCTCCTGATCCGAGTCTTATCAAACGATGCAAGCCACTCTATGTGTAGGATGCTAGTTTCTATTTTCCAAAGCAAGCTGTGTGAGTCCTTTACAATGACCACATGTTGGGCTGTGGTGCTCTCCACCCCCCAGAAAGCTGCTGTTACTGCCTCCACCTCCACAATCAAAACAATATAATAATACTGACCATGATAACAATAACTGTGCTGTCTTCACAAAGGAGGTTGGCTACAAGGTATCCACAGCTAACTGTGGGAATATTACATGTTCGGGTCCTAATCCCTTTCACAGTGTGACTTTCCTACCACTGTCTGAAAGCTATGAGAATGGTCGTTTTTCTAAACCAACCACTGTGGGAATCGAACCCTTGTAAACATCAATGACTGCACCGTGAAACCATTTCACTAACCTCTAAGCCACACAGCTGCACAATAATAATGATAATAGTCATATAACAATAAAAGTGATAAATTTATACACCATAAAAACAATAAAAGAGCATCAGTGGAACAGTTTTTAGTGCTCTGCCTGCAGAGAGACTGGTCCAGGTTCAATTCTCAGCAGAGGAATAATAAATTATTCAGATCAATATGGCTCTGTGGTCAACCAAGCTTTATAATAATGGGTACCAGATAAATAGAAACAAAAATTAACTGTGCAATATTTGCATCCACACAAAAGAGCAACCCAAAGACAATATCAAAATCCGCTTATTTTTGTTTTTGTCAAAGTATCTTTTGATAGGGCAGTGGTTCTCAACATTCCTAATGCAGTGATCCTTTAATACAGTTCCTCATGTTGTGGCGACCTCCAAACACACAATTATTTTTGTTACTACTTTATAACTTCAGTGAATGTGTTTTCCTATGCTCTTTGGCGACACCTGTCATTTGATCTATAAAAGGGTCGCGTCCCACAGGTTGAGACCCGCTGCAATAGGATGGCTTTATTCATTATCTCTGTGTCATATTTTCCACTGAATGTGTCTGCACAAACAGTATATTTAACTTATTCAGTTGTAAGCTACCTATGTTTTTGTTGGTTTCCACTAACAGAATATGGGGAACTGCTGTAGTGCAATGGCTAGATGCCTGCCTGTTTGACCCAAGATCTGGAATTTGAATCTATACCATGAAAAGTGAAAAAAAATTTAAAAAAAAAAGACTTCTGCTTCCTTGTTGATACAGCTTAAACTCCCGGTCAAAATAGACGCTAGGCACGGTCACTGTTGTGAGCCGCTGCAAATTTTTTTTCCTTCTGCCAGTAGGTGGCCGGGGCATTTTTGCTCCATTTGTACATTGACAAAATAGTTTCATCACCTAGCTTCTGAGCTGAGTGCATGGCATGACACTGTGAGCTGCTGATTTCATTTGGAATGTTTTTCTACTGTGACCAACGTGGTGGTGTGAATTGTAGATTAAGTAAATGACGCAATACCTGTTGTAGCAATATTGGTGGTGCCATTATGTGATTAAAATTTATCACGTGTGCAACTGCTGATCTGTTGATGACTTCTGCTACTATCCATGATGAACTGCATTGCTAATGTCGGACTGTTTGCGTTAGTACTTCGGATGGCTACCGTATGCTTTTAATGCGTGTGTATGCTAGTACATATGCTGAGACAGCAGTCTGTCAATCTTTCCACAAGGGATGTGATAAACATTCTGTGTGTTTTTCGTTGGCACAGGAGTGGAGCAACTACAGGGTGACCCATTTGCTATGAAGCTGAAACTAAGATTACCAGATTACAGCTTAAAATGGGTACTAGGAATATCCTGAGAAGCAGGATGTTGACAATTTCACCCAATGAGGGTTGAGTAGTCTACAGAAATGTATGCACATATCATCCTTTTTCTGATGCAGCATCAGCAAGAAAAGAGCCTTTTACTTTTACTGACAGGAAATAAACACCCTAAACTTCATCCATTTGTTACATTAACTCACCTTTGTCCAACTGCTACTTTAACTCCGTTTGTCTCAAAGTATTATTACTCTGACCTTGTCAGACACAAACATCATAAATTATTGTAAGAACTGCTTCTTCTTCTGTCCTCTATTCCCCAGTGGAGCACAGGCTCTCAACCAACTCCAAGTCACTATGTCCTATGGGGCTATCCTCCGAATAACGGCCACATATTATGGCAGCCACAAAAACACCCTAACAGGGCCTCAGTCACATGTAAATTGAAGACTTCCGGCCACTTAAATTGCGGACTACTGCCACCGCCATGCCGCTATGCGCGGCATGGATTGAGGCTAAACTAGATGGCTGCAGCTTTGCTCGTGAGTCCAAGCCATCTAGTTTAGCCCCAATCCACACCGTGCATAGCGGCGAGGGAAATACTCTCGGAGGTGGCGGTATAGTCGCCGGAAGTCCACAATTCAAATGTGACTGAGGCCCTGTTTTTGGCAGTCAAAATATGGGGCCGTTTTTAGGAGGATAGCCCCGTATTTTATATAAGCTCCAGTTTTAGTACAATCATGACGTTTTCAAGCGTTATGCAGGCTTTGTATTTCCGTTCTTTTTTTAACCAAGAATTTCTACACAAGATTGATTCCAAATTCCACTGATCTGTTTCCAGCAGACTTCGCTGTTTTCTTCCTCAGCTTAGTGTTGAAAAACTTGTACTTATTATTATTAGAAATAGAAACTGAAACTGGTTCTTCAACTTTTATATCGCTGAGATATCTTACATTGTATCGGTCTATGAGATTATAAGATGTTATATATCATTTAAGTGTATGATAAAGTTAAAAGCTGAAGTCAAAGATAAGAGGATCTACTTCACTGAATCGCTTTATCCCATATGATTCTGTCTCTCTCTCTCTCCTACCTACAGAGCAGCTTACCTGCCGAATTTTCTTATAAAATATTCCGGAAACGAAATGAAAATAAAAACAAAAGTAACAACGATTTAAGTAAGGTTTATTTAACGTTGTATATAATTAAATGTATACAATTAAATATATATAAAAGGCTCATTATTTAACTGAAAACGTACTGACTTATACTCTGGAATGTTAAGTAAAACTTCCTAAAAGTGGCCGCGAATCGATCCTCAACAATCCCGGATCTAGCTCGTCTGCTGTGCTTGAATTGTTTACCCAAACATACCAACTATGACGTCACGTCCGTCGGTTCTCATTCTATTTAGTCTTCAGAATACCGAGCCTCTACGCAATGAAATAGCAACAGTTTGTTGCCATAATTATAGCCGATATCTCATAGAACGATGTTAGCTTCCTGGTCAGAGATTGAAAGTGGCTAACTGAAATCGAACGAACCGATCCTTGAGGTTCATTTCTCCACATAATACCCGCCTCCATTCATCTATGTGATTGGTCTTTATTTTCACTTGGTGACTAGTATTTGTATCATGAAAAGATATAAAACCGAACGAAAAGTAGATGAGCGAGCTTCACAGTATAACAAACAAAAACGAAACGTGAACGCTGCGGCTACAGGGCCTTTATCGGCACATATTTAAATCAAACAAGACCACACGAACATACAAAATCACATAATCGACTTTTCCCGAAGCAGCTATTTTTATGTCTCGCCAGTGGGTGTTTGTAAATTTGAAGTGTTTGTAGGTCTGCCTGATTGTTATCCCTCCGTGGTTTCATTCGACTGCCTCGTGGTCTACTCACATTCACCTCTTTGTTGAAGTAGTTTTTGTCTGTTATTTGCTTTTTTTTTTTTTTTTCTATAGGCCTCAACCATTGCTGTGTGTTAGTCCTCATGATGCTAGTCATTCATTGTGATTTAAACAGAATCTCAGTTCCTTAATGGGTGCAAAGATTCGAATTAAGCATATTCTCATAAGGGGTTAATTACACGATCAGCAACGAGACTATTAAAACCTGAACCACTGTCGTCAAGAAAGCAACAAAACAAAATTCTCCTCAACTAGAAGAGTTCCTGAGCAGACGGTATCAGTATTTGACTGCGTGTGCGTTTCATCTAAGTGTTGAGTGTCTACCAAATTCCCTGGTCACTCCCCGTGGCACCATTTTATGCCCATAACGTAATGATCCATTCACGCTACTATATTGTTCACTTGTTCCCAAAGAGTCTTGACCAACGCCCAATCCCATCCAGATTATATCTTTGAGTCACTGAGTGCCAATCTTCCAGGCTAATATCCTAGTGGGGGAGGAGTCATATATTATACTGTCTTTACCCCTTCAGGGGTTGAGTTGAGTTACGAACACATATCACAGCACTCGGGATATAGCCATAAGTTGACCGGCCTCGTCTTCAGTCGCCAGCGATGAGTTCC